GTCTAAATCTTTAATAAAAGACAGCATGAATCACATGGAATCTGATCTTTTCGAATGTGACATTTGGTCCAAATCAGATACACGTTTCACTATGCAACGTCAGCTCAATATGAAGAGTCGTATCAGAATTCATGTGACTTTTACGCCACTATAGAGAGACATTCATCATGTGGGTATAAGATGAAAACTTTGCCTTGATAATAAAACATTTTTGTCAGGTTAAGTCAAAATTATGATATATAGAATAAAATGTCAAAAAATCTGATGTAAAAAGTTCATAATTATAAAAAGAGAGTCATAATTATTAGATAAAACCTCAAAATTAGGAGGAAAAAGGCAGAATTAGGAGATAAAAGTCTTAATTATGAGATCAAAAGTCAAAATTCTGAGGTAAAAAGTAATAATTATAAGAAAAAATAATTAATGTAATGTAAAATAATTATGAGATAAAAACCCAAATTATGACAAAAAAGCCTAAATTATGAGAAAAAAAAGTCTTAATAATGAGATAAAGAGTCAAATTTAAGAGATAAAAAGTTACAATTATGAGAGAAACAATAGAAATTATTAGATCAAAAGTCTAGATTTTGAGGTAAAAAGTAATAGTTACGAGATTAAAAGACAAAATACTGAGGTAAAAAGTCATAATGATGAGATACACATAAATAAACAACATAAGTTATACTGATGACGACATACAGACAACACTTGTTTCTGAAACTGAAAAAAAGTTTAAATCTGTTCTTTGAGTCATAAAACCTGAAACATCGTTTGTTTCCTCAGACTGTAAATGAAGCCTGTTATGTTTGATTGACAGTCCTCATTCATCTCTGTAATTGTGTTTCACCCCTGCCATTTAAAAAAAATGACATCAGCCCTCAGTGTGTGTGTGTGTGTGTGTGTGTGTGTTGGCATCAGAAAGCAAACCTCGCCTTGAGATATTAAGCAAGTCAGGCCTCATTACACACACACACACACACCTATCCTCCCTCTCTCCTTTCTTTCACCTCTCACTCCCTCCTTCATTTCTTCTTTCTGTCAACCATAAAATCCATTCAATCTTTCCGTCTGTGGATTTTCAGGCTTTATACGGTTCATTCATATGGAAAACAACTCATACGAAATTCTCGACAAATGTAAGACATTTATTATTTCCACAAATTCAACACTAGATATGGTAAATGTGAATATCAGAAAACAAACAGAGACAATTGGAAACATGTTGGAAGACTTCAGACGACCCACTGAGGACAGACATTGCATCGCCCACTCTGTAGCCTCCTGCTGCAGCGTGTGTGTGTGTGTGTGTGTGTGTGTTATTCTGGGCGACATTTCATCCAGACGTCAAAAACAAGAGCTTCAGTATGACATTAAAGGATTTGTTCCACACAGAAGCCTCAAACACGGCTGAAAAACAAAGTAAAACACACAGAAAAGGGGAAAAGCTCTGTCATGTCTCAGCACACGCTGATGTTGAAAATACAATCAATTAACTCTGTCTCCCGCACTGCTCAGCAGGTTTTCACACATGCAAGATTGAAACATGTTTACGTTGAAGTGATAAAGCCCTCAAAGGGACCGGGGTAATTACGTCTGGAGCAAAGGAGGAAGGTCGGGGGGAATCGGTGGGTCTTTAAACCCTTTGAACTCTGCAGGAGAAACAGTCCGTCTGTGCCAACGTTGGTATTTTTGCTTATTTTGATGTAATTTTTGGGAATATCTTAAAATGATTCGTACAACCTGAGCTGAAAGGGTATGTGAGTCAATAAACCATAAAAAGTTAAATAAAACAAAAAAAAAAAATCTAATTTGATTAAATGAAAATACAAAATAAAGTGACATAATGACGATTTATGAGTGTAGAAACATGAACAAAATATTTCTGGACACATATCTGAATCTGGAAACAAAGTTTTTGACATAATTTCCACAGGTTATATATACAGAACAATCTTGAAATAAAACTCACCAAAACTGTCTCTGTTAGTGTTTCCAACAATCACCAACTCTGGTTTGGTGGAAATAAATCCTTAATTCACCGACGTAGATGATAGAAACAGCAGTTTCAGTCGGAGCAGACCGGCTATGGAAACAAACCACAGAGAGGCTGCGATACAACACAGGCAGAGGGAGAGAGACCCCATGTGACTCTGTGTCTGTATATACAGAATAGCTGTTAGTCTGTTAATAGCAGATATATTAAAGCTTTAAATCTCATATATTTCTAATCTTTGATAAACTACATATTTTAATCCAAACAACAATGTTTCCCGAAACATAACCAATGCCTCTGATCAGAAAACGCTTCTTGTGTGTCGTTCAGACATTTTGTGTCATTTAATGTGGAGGTTGTTAATCTCTATACAAATTGCAGCCGTATTAGCAGCCTCCAGATGCCCGTCTCCCTTGCTACTTCCCCAAGCTCCTCCTGGGGGATCCCGAGGCGCTCCCGGGCCAGATGGGATATGTAATCCTCCCCAGTGTGTTCTGGGTCTGCCTCGGGGTCTTCCCCCAGTCGGACGTCCTTGAAATGCCTCCATAGGGAGACATCGAGGGGGTATCCTGAGCCCAAACAGCTCCAACTGGCTCCTTTCCATCCACCCAATAACTGTTGGATATTTGTAATCTGTGTATGAATTATCAGTTCAAGCTCTGAATGCTGCCCCTAATTGTGACCCCCGACACCCTGAGTGGAAAGCTGATTTTGGTTGCTTTCGATATATCCACACTCTCACTCTCGTGGTCAGCACACAACGCCAGTGACTGCTGGTGAGAGCTGGAATGTAGATCGACCTGTAAATCGAGAGCTTTGTCTTCAGGCCTAGCTCCCCCTTCACCACCACAGTCTGGTACGATGCCTAATCAGCCTGCCAATCTTGTCTAGCCTGATTCCAGACACATCTCTAATCAGTTCAGTGAGTCGAATTGGTCTGGTGTTCTGTTTATGTCTGGCTGTTGTAGGGAATAAGGAAGGAGGATGTAATTTCCCTACATAGGTAGCTTTACCCAGCTATGTTGTTCCTGTCTGTTAAATATGAAGCTAGCAGTAGCAGCTGGGTGCCGGTTGGTGGATCTTGTAACTGTTTGCCAAAGCCAGGCTAGCTGTTTCTCCTGTTTCCAATCTTTGAGCTAAATTAAACTCACTGCTAGTTAATTAAAACTCTAATCCAGGGCTGCACAATTCATCGGAATATTATCGAAATTGCAATATGACCAGTTAAGTGCGATATCCAAATTGCTGAAGATAAAGCTAAAATGTACTGTCCTTCAAATCTTATTTTCTAGATTTAAGAAAAACCTGTTTGTTTGTTTTCACAAATAACATGTCATCATGATTTTAATAGTTTTTCTAGTGAAAATTAAAATTCTGAATATTATTTCCCAACTTTTAACTTACTTTAGTATAGACAGAGAAAGACAATGTGTGTAAAATCTATAATAGTAATAGCAGAAATACTGATGAGAACCTTTGAAGAAGAGGGCAAACAATCCCAAACAGTCACAAATAATAAATATTGTGATATTTCTCTCTCTTTCTCTCACCCTCTCTCATTAGCGCTGGTGTGTGACAGCTAGCATGGTGGTTCGATAGCCAGTAGCCTATGGTACAAGTGCAATCTGAGGGAGCTCATCCATTTAAAACCTATTACACACACACGCACAAAACACATTACAAAGGTCATTAAGAATATATTAGAGGTGTCGATGTCGTTATAAATTCACAACATATTAGAGAACCCATTAAGAAATGTGGGTCAGCACACACATAGGGAGGTTATTGATGTCATTCATGAATGAGACCGACAATCCAGAATGACTACAGCTAGATGTGTGTGTGATGGATGGACTCAGGTGTGTGTGAAGCCCTGCCCGCTCGCTCTGTAATAGTAATGGAGTTTTTGTTTTTTAAGAAATGAAATATCTTTCCTGTAGCTAATGGCGTGTTTGTGGTCTTAACACTCCTCCACTATCATCCCATTTCATATTGATCCTGGACAAAGTGTGCTGTTTTGTGTGACCTTATGTTTACGTAGATTCTGAATACACTCATTAACTAGAATCTTTTGAATTTGTCCGATTGGATTTGACCTATGGAGTTCAAATAAGACTCAAGAGTCCACTAGCCGCTCTGTGAGGCTGTACACTAGGCACCACATTGATTTTGAGCTAAATATTAACGTCAACATGCTCACCTGCTCACATTGACTAACATGCTGAGCTGGCGTACCATGATCATCTTAGTTAGTGTGTAACATTTAGGAGGATCAGAATGGCAAAAATGTAATATATATTAGTGTAAAATCACCTGAAAATAAGAATCATTATGTTTTTCTTTCTTTAAAATGACCTGTTTTTGTCTACGTCTTAAACAAAGGCTGCCATGTTGAACCACCATGTTTCTACAGTGGACCAGAACAGACAAACCAAACACTGGCTCTATTTGGGCCTTGTGTTTTTCCTGAGTTTAACGGCCACAGTAATTTCTCCTACACACAGGCTGAGCTGTATTCAAATGGTTGCAATGTACACTTGGCTGCAAGATGCCACTAAATCCTAAATCCACTGGTCCTTTAAGACTATTAGTATACAAACATTTGCTAAATAACAGTAAATGGAGTGGCAGTGAGGATGGTGGGAATGTAATTTCTGGACAAATTAAAAGTGTTATCATATGGTGGCGCTGGAGGAAAAGTTAAGGGATCACCAAAGTTGATGATGATGCACCAGAGAGACCCTACCCATTCCAGATTAGACCAAATGTCATTTTGGCTCTGTCTTGGTTACAAAGGAGACAAATGAAAACCTCTTTGAGAGTCATATCCTGAGATAGACAAAAAAAACAACAAAAAAACAAAGACAGAAACCCAAGCACTGAACTTGGACCTGAGCCAGAGGAGAAGAGGAATGCAGAGGGGTGAAAAACCGAAACACCCAAACTGGTTTACCTTAAGAAAGAGGCGTAGCCAACACTGAAGACTAAATTCCTTCTCTCTGTCAAAGACCAGAAGAACAGCAACAGAGCTGCAGTCCTGCACAAGAAGGAAATATACATTTCCAAGAAAGATTTAAGTTTGTTTGAGGAAGACTTTACCAAACATCGGTGAGTACAGTTGGTGATTTATTGTGTTTAAACAACAGTCAGTAACCTATACAATACAGGCTGTACTCAGGACACTTTTCTGTTTTTATTTTGTTCTTACACTGAACAAGTGAACATGTCAATGTGAACATGTCCGCAATTTTAGACAATCTACTAAAAATCAAGCATTCCTTAGAGAAAAAAACACATGCATTTCCCATGTTTCAGATCAGATGTGATCACATGTGGAAATCATGGAACCACTTTTTGCAACACAATCACATTTCACATGGGAATTTACATGTGCTTCACATATTACACCACAAAAATGTTCCAAAACCATGTTTCATGTGTTTCTGCGCATGCAGAAATTATGTATTTTTCTGAAAGGGTTGAAATTTTGTAGTAGGAATATCAAATTGTGTAACGACAGTGTTGTAATGTCATTCTTTTATTTTTGGTTTTAGCGTGTCAGCATGTCGACTCCCAGCTGTCTGTTGACGGAAGACCAGCTTCTGTGCGGCATCTGTTTGGATGTGTTCTCTGATCCAGTCACATTACCATGTGGACACAACTTCTGCAAAAACTGCATCACGCAGCACTGGGACAGCAGCAGCCAGGTTCACTGTCCCTCATGTAAAGAACCTTTCTATAAAAGGCCTGATTTGCGAGTCAATACTTTCATATCTGAGATGGCTGCTCATTTCAGACATTCGTCTGGAAAGAGCAGCTCATGTGTTGCCAAACCAGGAGATGTTCCCTGTGACATCTGCACTGAAACCAAAATGAAAGCTTTGAAATCCTGCCTGGTGTGTCTGGCCTCATACTGCGAGACGCACCTGGAGCCACATCTGACTGCATTGCGCCTGAAAAGACATCAGCTTACTGATCCTGTGGAGAACCTGGAAGGCAGGATGTGTACGATACATGACAAACCTCTGGAGCTCTTCTGCAAGACTGACCAGACCTGCGTGTGCATGCTGTGTCCTGTTTTAGACCACAAGTCGCATGAAGTCATTCCGCTGAAAGAACAATTTGAGAGAAAGAAGGCCGAGTTGGGGAAGAGAGAGGTTGAAATCCACCGTATGATCCAGGAGAGACGACTGAAGATTCAAGATATCAAACACAATGTAAAGCTCAGCAAGGAATCTGCAGACAAAGAGATGGCAGATGGCATTCAGGTCTTCTCCGTTTTGATACAGTCGTTGGAAAGAGCCCAGGCAGAGCTCATTGGGATCATTGAAGACAAGCAGAAAACAACAGAAAAAGAGGCTAAAGATTTCATCCAAGAGCTAGAGCAGGAAATCTTTGAGCTGATGAGGAGACGGGCTGAGGTGGAACAGCTTTCACGCTCAAAAGACCAAATCCACTTCCTGCAAAGCTTTGGGTCCCTGAATGCTTCGGCCGTCTACAAAGACTGGACAGAGGTCCATGTGAATCTGCCAAAATATGAGGGGACTGTGAAGACAGCTGTGGATCAACTGGAGGAGACGCTTGGCAAAGTGCTACAGAAGCTGATCCAAGGGGCTGAGCTAAGCAGTCTCCAACATTTTGCTGTGGATGTGACTCTGAATCCTGATACAGCACATCCGGCTCTCATCCTGTCTGATGATGGGAAACAAGTACATCATAGTGTTATAAAGAAGAATCTCCCAGACAATCCGGAGAGATTTAATCCTAGTTGTTGTGTCCTAGCAAAACAGAGTTTCTGTTATGGGAAATTTTACTTTGAGGTTGACATTAAAGGAAAGACTAGATGGACTTTAGGAGTGGCCAAAGAGTCGATCAAAAGGAAGGGAATTATCCCACTGTGCCCAGAAAATGGCCACTGGACAATGTGGTTGAAAAATGGAGACGAATATGCAGCTCTCGTTGGCTCTCCTCTACCTCTCTCTCTAAAATCAAAGCCACAGAAGGTGGGAGTGTTTGTGGATTATGAGATGGGTCTGGTCTCTTTTTATGACGTAGATGCTGCAGCTCTTCTCTACTCCTTTTCTGGCTGCTCATTCACTGATAAACTCTACCCATTCTTCAGTCCTGGTCTAAATAATGATGGCAGAAACTCCACTCCTATGATAATTTCTGCCGTCAAATAGTGAGTTGATTTTGTGTGACGCAGTAATCATAATTGCTTCACAGTTTTCTTGAAATTCTGGTCAATTTTGTCATATCACTGCCTGGAAATGTGTCTTGTAAAATAGTGTTTTTCTAAGTGTGTGCACTGTTTGGTGTGGTTGAATCGGACATCTTAAGATTGGTGCAGACCACAATAACCTTTTTGTATAAAAGGTCTCGGTTCGGTCACAGAGGCATTCTGAAGCAGGTTGTTTGCGGTGGGAATGTGGTCCAACCTCGATCCGACTGCAAGGCAAAGTTTGAGCTAAATGACTCCCATAGCCAGAAATCAATTGAGGGCTGACCTAGACTAGCACATCTTACCTATGTGAATACTTTTTATGATACATTTTGGTTCACATGAATCTTTTTCTGTGCAAAAATGAACCAAACCAAGAAGAAAATGCAACAAGTTCACTAACTTCTTATCTTAAACTCATTAATTCGGACCAGAACAAACAAAGTATAGGTTTAAAGATGCATTAAAGGTCCAGTGTGTAACATTTAGGAGGATCTATTGTCAGAAATGGAATATAATACTCATACGTATGTTTTCATAAGTGTATAATTACTTGACAAGAAGAAAGTTGTGTTTTCTACAGTAGCCCAGAACAGACTAAATAGGGCCTTTTAAAATATACTTTGAAATAGACTTTTAGCAGACATTTTCACTTGTCATTGCAGGAAAACCACATGTGTAACTAATACCATAAATGATGCCTTGAGAACAATAGCAGGGATAAGAAACTGGATGTGTTTAGTTACACCTGGTTGTCTTGCGATTTGTAAAATCTAATAGAACAGGCCTACAGCCTGATAAGAAATTAGAAATGTTGACTTGTCATAGCAGGAAAAGTATAGGTGTTAATGATCTGTTTTATTCCTTTATATCCCACAAAGCCGTGTGTGACAGTGAGCCAGCATGCACAATACTGAGGCCCTGAGACTGAAGGAGCTAAATGAAATTCAGCCAGCATTCATTTTATTATTTACACCTGTGCTTTTTCTTCTGTGACATTTTAGTGAAAAAGGCCTGTTCATCTTAATGGAGGGGGTTCTGTGAATTTGTTGAGCGTGACAGCTCTAGTTTTGCTGCTTCATTCTCACGTGCATTTCACTGTCATGCATATCCATTGCAATAACACAGTCTGTTTAAGCTGTCAATTGACGGCTCACTCTGTTGTTCTGCCTAAGCTGGTACTGCTACATTGCTCGCTGCATTATTATCGCTGCAGCAAGCTTGCACGCCTGCAAGTCTGCTAATGCTCTTCGAGGAAAGGAATTTGAGGCACGCCTTCCACTGCTGCTGCCGGTAACTCCATTGTTTGGCTGTCATCATGTTGTCAAATATTATATGTCATATAAACTCTTTGCTGCAGCAGTTTCTACCAGTTTTAGCCATGAGATTGACGGTTTTATTCAAGGATAAACATAATTGCAGTTGTCCAAACAGATGAAAGATTAATAAACAAAAGCATGGATAACTCTGTCAGGGTCAACAGAGGAGGATGCTTTTAATTTTTGAAATGGCACAAGTACTTTTGAGTGTTTTGTCCAAGTCCATGTAACTGTGCACTCATGCAAAAACATTTTTAGTGTTCCTATCTTCAATCTGTCTTTTATTTTTTCATACAAGGTTTCCTTGTACGAGTGAGTCACCACTCACTTTCACTAGCAAGGACCCACCACCACAATGTTTCATTTTAAGGTTTAATGGAAATTCAGGAGGTTTTGATGTTAAGTACAGATGAATTGACGTGGACGTGAAGGGGAGAAGGTGGAAGAAGATGTCATCTGTCAGGTACTTAGAATGGGATGTGGGAGAGGTATGCACCGACTGAATAGAAAGGGATGAGGGGAGGAGGGAAGAGACGGGGAAGGGAAAGGGAGGATGGGTCAAATAGCGCATGACGGGGGTTGATCAGGTATTAAGTAGCTTGCCAGGTGATTAGAGGTGTGGTTGAGGCGTGGCCCCGCCCTTGAACCTAAGTAAACTAATAAACTTAAATACTTATTCTCATTCCAACTTGATGAAAGCCATCTGTTAACGAGGAAGTGCTGCGAAGTCCTGCTATCTGAAATCAGCCAACCAAAACATAACAAACCCAGCAGTGTCAGTAGACGTAATAGGGGACAAAAGGACAATGAGAAAATATTAATACATCTGCCAGCGATGCGTCATCAGAGAGTACTCGGACAGAAATAAAGAGGGGATGGTTTGACATGTTGACAAGTCGATGCAAAAAAAAAAAAGAAAACCCTGAGGCAGCTGTTGGAGTGAGATAATCTTTCCTATAAGTTGCTGTGCCAAAATATGCCAATAAAATCTAAAAAAAACTAGACATGAAGATGATATAGTGAACAGAATATTAACTCTTTTTTGCATTAAATATAACTTCATTTTGATTTTGCTATCATATTTAAACTCCAAGATAAAGACATTCAAATTAAGTCAAATTGTGGAAAGAGAGGATGACTCATTCATTTTTGTATTTGTAAAATGGACAAATTCTCTCACTTGTGCATGCTTCTTTAATTATCAGTAGGATGTACTGTGTCATATTTTGTATGTCATTCGTGTTTGCATCAATAAATTGTGGATAATAAAACCAACTCGTTCATTCCTTTTTTCACTTCCCCCTTAACAGCAGTCGAATGTTTCTCTCTTGCGATCTCTCGCAGCTGTTTACTTAATGTACAGTAATATCTTGTAAAAGTCCTGAAAGTGCCTGAGGCTGGCTCACATGTTGAAAGAACTCAGCAGGCCACACGCTGCATCAAGCGGGAAATGCAACTTAAAGCAACAGACTCAAATTTCAAACATGAGAAAAACACGTCCAAATGAGTAACTGTGTTTTTATTGGGTAAGGGATCAGTCTTTGGACCCTTGCTGTTTTGTTTTTCCCCCAGGTTTTATTAGTCGCAATCATTTCTTCCCATAAGTATGTGGATGATACAAATGTCTGGATGCTGAGCAGTTTAATTAAAGAACGGTTTTATTGGTAATCACAAGGAGGCCCAAACTACATTTTCTCTCTCAGGAATGTTTTGGAAATGCCTGTCAGATTACTTTAAGCATTGCATTTAAAAAAAGATGCTTTTAATTCTTCAGAAAATATTCAAGATCAAGGTAAAGGTGCGTCATGTTTGAGGAAATTGAAAGACTGGAGCTGAGGCATATCAGAGAACATACTCAAGCATGAAAGGTCTGAGTTTAATCTTTGTCACCTGCACAGCTTGTGTTTTCCCGCTCTGCTTTTCTTACAGAGCAGACTGTCACAACCATATCTCATTTCTTTTGTCATGCTTGTGTTTGATTAACTGCCACAAATGAACCTGCAGTGATTGAACAGAGGTGCGTTCCGTTCACCTGCACGTTGACACTTCCAGCAAGATCATCAAATTTTATACTTAGTAATTAATTTATGTGTTTATGTGTTTTTACCCACTTAAAGCCACATCATTTATGGTTGCTTCTCTTCCTCTCCAGTACATCCACACCAGTATGTACTGTGGAAGCTTCCTGGATCATAGAGATAATATGTGAACTGTTCCTCAACACATGCAGCCATGTGAGGCCTGTGCTTTAGTTTGTGACTGTTCTCTGGTGTGTACTGCCATCTTATGGCTGCTGGTTTAATCTGTGAGAAAGCACACTATGTGGCCAAAAGTATGTGGACATCTGAATATTAAATCCAGAGGTGATGACTGAATATCTCATTTTAAAACCATAGATCTGCTTCTGTAACAGCCTCCACTCTTCTGGTTGCACTAGATTTTGAAACCTGGTTGCAACTTAAAGCTCCCCTCCAGACATGCATTAAGACCTATATACAAATAGTCTGCTTGGGACAATAATGATAATTTTTCTTCTGCAAAAGAAAACTCCTACCTTATTAAGTCCATAATCTATGAATATGTAACTTTCTAAAGTTCCCTTACTGGACACAAGAAGTCTCCTACTTCACTGTAAAGTCCACTGGACAAGAATTTACTTGAGAACATCCTTCTAGTGTCAAACTCTGCACATATATCATTCAATCATCCCACTGTAGGTACAAGAATATTTTTGAGTCGAGTGGGACTTTGAGGAAACACATGCAAATAGACATTATACAAGCAAATTAATCAAGCAAAATCATACTAAATGCTAAATGCATGATATTCATCATATATATTCATGGTTTTTGCATTCATTTGATGCAAATGTTTTAACTTTTTTACAGATAAAAAACTGTGTGTGCATCTCATCCTGCACCCAAAGTGCAATGTCATTGTTACTAGTGGCTGCATTCCATTTAGATAAGCCAGTTCCTGGGTTGTGCATGTTGGCTCACCAGAGAGGCTGCAGGGGAACAGAGCCATTACTAACATTAGTGGTTCAACGTGTTCAACTCCCTCCCTGCTCTGCACTCCTCAGTGTTTCCCACCTTCAGCTGTCGCTTGACATCTACCTGCACACCTGTTCCTAATCCACTAATCAACTCCACAGCATATATAACACAGCCCCTTCCTCCTCGTGTCTGTTAACAAACCGTGTTGTGAATCACAGACGCTGTAAACTTTGTTTTAATTTATTCTGCCTGGCCCTGAGCTGTGTGTTACAATCATTGATTATGTTTATTATGGATCCCACTGCTTTTCATGGCAAGACAAGCCCTGTGTATCATTCAAGCGCTAGGATTGGCTAGGCGCCCGTGCTGGCACGAGTGGGAGATGTTTCCTGCCAAAAAAGCTTTCTAACATGCGGTTAAGGGTCCATTTAAATCCAAACCATGATATTTTTCTAAACCTAACCAAACTGTGACTGAAAACTGAAAAAACAAATAACTTTGATAAATAGGTGAAACTAAACATTTTGATTTTGCCATGACAGTCGAAAGATTTTGTTGCCACCTCTGACAGAAACAAATCTGAAGGGTTTTTCCTTAACATACTAAATATACTCATAGGTCATTAATGGTTTTAATCGAAATGAAAACAACCTAAAATCACAGAAACCATCTTCGGGAAAGAAGGTGTACTTTTTTTTGGTTTGGCCCATCTCCCATCTGTGAACATTGAGGGGATGAGGTTTATGTTAGTTTACACAAACTTCCTGCAGTTATTGTGTTGACTGTTTGGGTTTATTGTACAGTTTATCAGTTTTTCTCTACTGTTATTGTATGAAATCTTTCAGTCAGGGGTCAACAGATACAAAAGGGCTCCCTTAAGTAAAAAGGTTGGGAGCCACTGATTTGTAGTACACCTATAATCCACTCAAAACTGTGCCATCATTTCCTTAAAACCATCTACCCCACCCTGCACCCTTCCATCGACCTTTCAAAACCATTTATTATCCCAATATACCCAACAATTGGCCCTTTCAGCTGCCTTTCAACTGTCTCTATTGGCCTCTGTCAGCCCTTTATGTTATGGCAGATGAAACCCTGCTAACGGTGAGGAAACAATGAACGTATCAGAACACAAGAGAGTGAGAACTTCTGGATTTCAGTCAAGAGTTTAATCTGAAATTATAGGAGCACAGATATGACATTAAAACAGTTCCTGTCACAGTATTTGTCTCCATTTAAATTGTTGTCACTCTTTATTTAATGGTGAGATGTTCATTGTCCGTCGGAGATCTTAACACTTGTAACCCTGAACTGCTGGTTTTTTTTGTTCTCAGTGCTGCAAGTGTTGCTGGGGGGATTTCCCAACTTTCCCCAAACGTTACCTGCTGTTAAGGCAATTCAACATTCATGCACCCAGAAGTGCTGTGTTGAGACTGAAGTGCTTTACATAAGACATGCACATATCTTTAGGAAATATGCTAGTTTGTTGTTGCAAATTTTCTTTTACAAGCACACACCAACAAGAGACAGCTCAAGTGCTCTGACACATTTTAACCCGAGGAGGTTCGGAAATAGTCTTCTTCCCAATTTTTATGCTGCTAATTCCTTCAGAAATTATACCCAGATTAGAATTAATCTTAGTATTCATCATCCAGAAATACTAAGAGCAGTCAAATCTGCAGCTTTTTTTCCCCCAATCCATGTAAAGAAAAACGTATTGTCAGTGCATATTCTTATTGGATTAAAGGAATAGTAACATTAGCAATTAAAGCTAGGCTTAAATCCTGAACCTTTGTGTGCTGGACACACATAAAACTGATATAATCAATTTATATGGGGCACAAATGCATGAATGATAGGGATGTAAAGATTTAGCGATGCGAAATACTTAGAAATAAAGGTCTACATTAAACAAATGTTAAGAACTGTATCAGATTGCATCAAATTATTAATCAAAAAGCATCATCCTTGGAAAACAAGAGGGTTCTCTTATACTGTTGCATTTTAAATCACCGATAATAACTCTGATCTCAGTCCTCCCCGGGTTAATAGAGCTGTAGTTGGATGTGGTGAAGGCTGCGCATAGAGACAGCTTAATTTGTACAATATGTCTCTGTTACATAAGACTAATGTACATGCATACCATCAAAGAACACAAAGGAGATATAATGATTCACAAAAAAATAAATGTTTGCATATATTTTCTACAATATAAAGCTGGAAGACTTTTGCTCCCAAATGAAACTCTCGTGCAGCATCATCCCTGTGTTTCCTGCTTTCCCTGTCGCTCTCTTAAAAGGCACAAATATTGTAAAAAAAAAAAAAGAAGAAGAAGAAGAGGTCGTGTTGACCACTGAGTCCTCCTGTTACAGTGCAGAGGTTAAAGGTCAGGGGTCAGGAGGAGGGTTCCCTTTAGTAGCCCTTCATGGCAATGGACGATCCTCCTGCGTTGTCATGACGGTTGATCTGATGGATCATCAGGAGGGAGACCAACAGGCCCAGCAGCTATAAAGACAGGCAGTCAGTCAGAGAGACAGACAGGTGACAGGTACAGTAGACAAGCTGTCAGACAACTTGGATTCTCGCCAGAAGTGAAAGACAACACACAAGCAGCCATCTGTCCAAGCTGCACACTGTTATGAATTTAAATGCTGACTGGAGGCCAACAGCTGTTATAAACATGTTTCTTTTATTCCAGTTTACTGCCTGCATATTGTTAGGCAGCTGAATGAGTTGTTGAGCTTTCTGAGTGCAGCTAAAACTGTCTTCACCTAAAATACAGCTGCAAAATGGGAGGACCTGCCAGTTCCGAAGTGTTTTCCACTTTAAATCTGACTGCTTTTACTGAGATCCTCAATGTTTCTTAATGTAGACGCCCTACGGAAGTCTCCTGGATTATTTAAACCTACTACAAGGAGTTATAGTTAGGAATAATATTTCTATGTAGTTATTCTTAATGCCTGCCACCGGGCCGGCAGGGGAGTATCTAGAGTGGTAGCACTGGGGTGGCAAATGCCCCCCACAAAAAATGCCTGGCCTCATTAACTTAGGTTTCAGAAACAAAACAAAATCCGTATTTCAAAAATTGTTCGTACAACTCATTAAAGTGAAAAATGGTTAATCATTTTTAACTTTCAAGTACCCAAATAATAAAAAATATTTAAAATACTTTTATACTATTTTTTTGCTTGGTTAAAAACTTAGTTTTAGTTTATTGCAAAAATTTTAGTTTTGAGTTTGACTTAAAACTTAAAAATCATCTAATATACAAAGATCAGGAGTCCACAAGGGGAACTCTTTACAATCAATGCAGTCAAAGAACGTGATGAAACAACAAAGACAGCAGAGCTTACTGCAGTGACAGCAAATCCAAAGAAAAAACCCATGGAGATCTGGAAGGCTATGTTTAAGAACCCAAAGATGACGTCACCGCAGGTCTACAGAAGACAAAATAGAGAAAGGGTCATCATCTGGAAACATCACGGACAGGTAAATTGGTTGGTGGGTTGATTAATTGAATACCTTATTAAAGACTTGATCTGGGCCAGTGGTTCCCTGCAAGCAAACAAGAACAAAACATGGTCATAAAAAGTCAAATTCAAGGTCTTTGATGCAAGGTAAAAAGGCCTGCTCTCATCTATAACATAGTCAAACTCCTACCAAAGTCAGTCAGCAGAAGAGCAAAAGGTTAAGGAATAATGGAAGATGAAATGACTTTAAAAGAAACCATGTACATCCAAAGGTCTCAGGACACTTCTTATGTACGCTCATCAGATTGTCAGGAAACATCTATAACAGCTTTTTTTCTGACCAAAGAAGACTGAAGTAAGAAAAAAGAAATAGCCCCCACACTAATTTAGCTGTGTGGAAATTTTGCTTCACATAGGGACACCACATAGCTGCAGTGCTACCGTAGAGTGTATCCTGATGGAAACTTCTGTAGAGCCACCAACTCTACAATAACAGGCAATCCTTCTCTTCCACCTGCACTTTACATACTCAAGGTCCACAAATGTTGGTACGTTTAGTGACAAAAAGGTGGAATTTACTTTTGCACACGAGCACCAGCTTATTCATGAGATAAGACAAACCGTGGAAAGATCCAGCGGTATCCAAGTTCGTATCACCACCTTGGACACTACCATATTTTTAAACATTTATTCCAGTGTCAATTCCTATATTAGATACATTCACTTTCATCTCACAAAACCAACCTGAGGTCTGGATTTACATCCAGATGGTCCAAATAGTGATGGTTGTCCAGAAGGGCACTTACAGGACTGAGGGATGTCATTACCCCAGTCATTGGTGCTCACCACTCCACAGCACTGGGCCTGCGACCACATGAGAGAGTTAGTTTCAACAGGTGGAAAATGAGACTTTAGATTATTTAGGAAAGGTTTGTTTTTTATTTATCTTGTTTTATGACTGTATTTGACTATCATTGTCAGGATCATCAATATGATCATCCCCTGTGTGATTCCCAACCTGTTTCCTTAAGGGACCACTTTTTTATCAGGTAATACACTGACGATCCCTGACTAAGTGACATATATTTTATGGATATTTCGTACTTTTCAGGAGGCCTAGGAAGTTTTCTTACAACATCAAGAAGCCCTTGTGACGCCCCATGAAGCTTTGGCAAACCTTAATGGGGGTCCCAACCCCCAGGTTGGGAACCACTGCTCTATGTGTCTGCACAAGAAAAGCACAATCTAGCTAGACTACACTCATAAGGGTTAATAGTACACAAAGAACATTACAGATTCCTGCAACCCATCAATTAATGTTCTGAAGCTCTCCTCCTTCATGTAGGGATCTATCGAGTCAGACAGGGTGTTGGTGAAGGCATCTTTGACCTAGAAGAAGAGAAAGAACAACATTAGCTTCAATATGGTGGAGGGAAAAAACAACGGGAGGAAGGATCAAGACCGACACTTATAGAGAGAGATACAGATGGAGAGCACGTTAGCGTCAAGATGGAGAGAACCTTAGCATCAAGATAGAGCGAGAGAACCTAAGCGTCAAGATAGATATAGAGAACTTTATCAAACTACATACAGAGAAAGAGAGAACAATAGGATCAAAATGGGAAACAAACATTTGGGTAAAGATAGATAGATTGATGACCTTGTTCCTTACGACAGCGACAATGATGCCAAAGATCAGCATGATGATCATTCCAGCCACCATGAAACCTGCAAACTGTGCATGAAACAATATGAGCAATATTCGTAGATACCACACATTAATAGTTTTGTTGATTGCGTAACAAAATTGATTAAATGAACAAAACAGATATCCAGTTGATATATGTTGACTGGTACGTACTATTTTGAGGGCAAGGCCTTTCTCAGAGCAGGCTGCAAAGATTCCGAAGCAGGAGATGCCGAAGATGCCGATGGCAAACACCCAAAGCCAGGCTGTGCTTGGTCCACCAACCGCAGAAATCTGCTCCGGCACAACAGGACAATGACACAACACAAACACTCAATTACTGCAAAGCCGTGATCTCACATGATGAATTAAATAATTAGGCATTATTTTAAATTTCTTTTAATAAATCCAATGAAAAATTTTAAATATTTGTGACTCGAAGTCTCTCAATATTTTTTGACGCTACCAATAGATTCCAGAGAACGTTGTGATGTGAAAATATAGTCAGAATACCATTGAAATAAAGGCTATAATCTAATCTCTATTATTTATTCCAGTGTCAATAGATGGTTAGGTATCTTTCTTGGATACGGAAGCCTATTGCTGCCACACCAGGAAAAGAAAAACAATTCAGTATCCCTTTATATATATTTTGTTCATATCAGTTCATTGTTGGTTTTGGTGAGGGAGTGACTTATTACGTTTTATTGTCGGTTTACAGCTAGATTAGCATTTAGCTCACAGCAGCTCCATTAGCAGTTATCAAAAGTTAAAGATTGATTGGTGAATGTCATGATATTATTGGCTGAAATTTGTTAGTTCAGGCTTAAGTAAGCATCAGATTTTGTTTCACAGGAAGACAAAATTATATAAAAATACAAAAAAATTGAATTTTTGTTATATAGACATACAATACAACTGAGAATGCGATCTTAAAGGGTTAAAATGACTTTTTTCATTTCACCTGGACTTCTTTTATATGAGCCAATACTGCACAAAGGACCATATGGGTACCAAGTTTAGATGTTGCATCCCACAAAATGGAACTTGGAAAGCAGAAAATCTGAAACCTGATGATGTGTTTTGGAAAAATACTCAACAGGAATGTGAAAGTGAATTTAATCAGTTAAAAACAAATAGCTCCAAGGCTTTATTCCACCCTGTAGACCATCCTGTTTTCTGTAGTCGACTGCGAGGATGGAAAATTCTCCCACACCGCCCCCCAAAAAAGGTGCATCTGCTCTGCATTAAAAAGAGAAATCAAAGCCTACACTACAACCCGGCAGCTTAGTTTATAAACACTCACAATACTTCACCTTCAGCTTGTTTTGAACATTTCTAAACACGTATTCTGGATTTTCAGATGTGTACATACGGGATTACACACGAGATGTCGTGACTAACGCAATCAGCCTTGCTCGTGTTTTAATTCAAAGCCTCTGAGAATATTAACTGCCATAACCAAGTCTGAACTTACAAACTGCAGGCTGTTAGGAAACCCATAAATCCTCGATGGTTAAAACATGTTTTATTCTTTGAGCATTCAAACTCAAACAAACTCTGGCAACCCTTTCTGTTTTTCCCCCCCGAACTGGCACTTGATTGTTTTAATTGTGAACATCTGACTCTGATTTCCTGATGTTTTTTACGCTGTGACTCACGTTACACAATCTGCAGCTCATTCTGCCAACAGACATCCTGTAATGGGAAGCTGTTTTTTGTAGGGACCATTGACCCAGCAGAGATAATGAACAATTCATTGTTGTCTTTTTTGGCGCTCAACTCACTCCTACAGTTATGTTTTCCAGAGAAGCGACAAATGAGTGTAATGTTGTCATATCAAGTAATAGTCCGAACCCATAAACCTCTGTAAAAGTGCAAAAATTAGACAGAAAGTGTTGAGCCAGATTAGAAAACTATTTACAGCCTCAGTATTGAGCTTCAGAGCCATATTTTCTTTCTTTTCTTTGAATAAAAGTTGTTATATTTATCGTTTATTAGAAAATGAGTATTGACAAACATTTTTATTCTAGCTTTAGTCTATTGTTTTTAAATTCAAAACAACATTCAGCACTCTGCCAGTGATACATTCTTATGTCCAGTAGTAAAAAGTAGCTTTATGTTGTTGTTATTTAGCCTTTCTGAAACTATTACCATTGTTAAATCAATGCATACTATTGTATTGTATATTTAAACCCCTTTAAGTCCCTTCATCCTGGCACCTGGCCTGTTTCCGAAGGTTATGCAATAAAAGTTGTGAAATAATTGAAAATGACCTCATTGAACTGCTTGAAAAAGCCAAAAGCAGCTTGTCCAATTCAGCCACAGTTTTTTAACACAGACGTTTTCATCATCAGAATATGCAAACATGCTAATTGTTTTTGTGTTTTCTCTGATGCCACAATGTGGAACACAAAGTGGATTCTCTGCTGGTGTGGTGGTGGTGGTGTTGTTGTTGTTGTTGTTGTTGTTGTTGTTTACCTGGTCGTTGATCACGGCCGACTTCACTGCTGCGAAGATCAGCAGACATCCGAGGATCTGAGGACACATCATGTTAGTCAGTTTGTGCTTTGACAGGATTAAAAGCCCAGTAATGTATGGAGGCTAAAGCCAAAAACATTCAATTTAAAAAGTGGACAGAATGTAAACAGTGTAGAAGAATTAACAGAAAATGAGTTGACACATTAATAAGTAACTAATAATAAATAAATAACTTTATTTTTAGTTTCCAACAATACCACATGAATCTGATTTAATTTGTGGAACATTTGTGTAAAATGATGCTTTTGTTGATATGATTCAGCCATAAAAAAAAAAAAAATCATTAATTTAAATGAACAGCTGGAACCAGGTGGTAGATAATTTATATCATAGTAATTTAATTGAAACTTCCCAAACTTGCGAAGGAAAGGCAAGTTTGGAAACACTGTTTTAAAGGTTCTTCAGAGGAACTTAAGGGGTGAATCAAGACGACTTTGAATTATACATTTATACAATTTATAACCCCTTTAAATACATAAACTGTTATTTAGTTAGTTAGTTAGTTAGTTAGTTATTATTAATTAACACAATCGAGGAGCTCATCATTACTTTAATGAGCACATTGGGCATTAAGCAGTTTTTAAAGGGCTCTAAAGTGACAGTTAAACAGCAGTTAGATCGTCTTTAGTTACTAGTAATGTGACGCATTTCTTAATATGTGGATGAAGATTTTTGCTGAAATCCAAAACTTCACCTCCTCCTATGATATTACTCTGTTAGGCGCTGGTCAGTTTTTATTAATTTTATGTTTTGAATTTTACAGTAGAATAGAGGGATTTAGATTTAAAAACTACTCAAAAATGGACATATATCGGACATATGGACATGTTATCAAAAGTGTGTTTACTATATCCATATTATCTGCTCATTCAGCATTATATTTATATGTACTAGTGCATGCTGGATGTTTTTTAATTTCCTCTCGCTGTAATTTCTGCACCCAGACACTAGAGGGAGAAAGAGCTCTACTAACTGAACACAATGGATCTTCTCAAACAGCCCACTGTGACTTTTCAGAATCAGAATCACGTTTATTGCCAAGTTTTTACACATACAAGGAATTTGCCTTGGTGTGTTGTAGTACTTTTTAAAATATAAATAAATAAAGATAACGGTAGAAAGATTTAAACTGTACAGGAAAGATATTTACAATATATTTTTCTTTTTGTTTGTTTTAAATGTTTGTTTTGTTTTTAATCTTCCTCAAACTAAACCGAACACCAGAAACTTGCACAATACGTTTTACATCTTTCCTCAAAGTGAAAACAACTTCCACCTTTTTTACATTACCGCCCCCCCCCCCAATCATCTCTCAGGGCTGAAAACATGTCCCAACTGCAGCAGAAACAAATGAAACTTGAGAAGGTGGGCGGCCTGCAATATGGACCTGTTCTCTAATGTTGTCTCTCACTCCCCCCCCCGCTCTTCCTCTTTTTTCTTCCTCCGTGCCCGTTTTACTGGAAATGACTGTTGTACTGAACATCAGCAATCAAACAAAATTTGGAGTAGCCTTTTTCCCTCCTATAAACATAATTAAACACAGTTTTACTGCCTAACATCCAATTTAGTGATTTAGTAATTTAGTCCAACACTGTGAGGGGTTTTTTTTCGTGTTATTTATACTTTATTAGTAATTAAGGTTTTATTTTAAATTCGTATCTATTTTCTCTCTTTCTTAGAAAAGTACAATTTGTATTTTCTATGTTATTTTAAGCATACTTTACTCTTTTTTTCACTCCTAACCTCTTTTCTACACTGTTTTTGCTTAGTAAAAGCTGAAAATCAGTTAGCCAACTTTTTAATGATCTTTTTGTCATTTTTAATTCTGATATGTTTAACAAAAGACCACTTGTTGAAAAGAGATTTTTTTCATCTTTTTTTCCAAACAAATTGAAAAAAGACCAAACAGAAACAGACAAAAATGAACTAATCAAAAATAAAATTTCTACTTACTGCATACACCACATTGAAGAATATAAAGACGCATTTGAGGCATCCGTTAATTTTCCCCATCTTTGGTTTTTTTTTTTAGCAGACGGCTCTCAGAGATAAAAGAAGTTAAGCTGTGTACATGTAACACAGTGTATGTGATGATGTACAGCACTGTGTGCCTTGATAAAGCGCCTAACTGTGAGTGAGGGATGGACACAGAGTTACGGCACACAGAGCCGATCTGCAGCCAATGACTTCGAGTCTGACAAAATTTAAATAAACAAGTTGCAGCCTGAAGTCAACGTAGCTTGAAACAGAAAGTAAACTTTAGATAGAAGTTTTAAATTTCTTCTTACTTAACTTTTGTTTAACTAGGTTTCTTTACAAGAAGCATGAAAGAGTTACATTCTTTATAAAAACATGTTGATTTTTGTTAATTTCCTCCCAGGATCTATTGTGCAAGAAGATTGAAAAAATTTGAAAAACAAGATTTAACGCAGAAAACAAATAGAAAATGAACATTTAAAGTGGAAAAACACTTATGGGAAGCTGCAGGTTCAGATCATTACAGTCCTGTGGCCTGTAATGTTAATCTGTGAAGCACACAAATTCACAGAGCTAAAAAAGGACCAAATTAAAAGGAGATCCTAAAAGACAGCACACGATACAGATGTCAGTTACACAACAGGTTTGTTCAAGTCTTTTTTCGTTTTTGCTTTTGTGAGATAGAAATAAAGGAAGCTGATGGAGCAATTGTAATTGACTTATATTACAACTTTCTGGTCTTTCAAACCTCTCAAAGTGCTTTTATACGTCAGGCCACATTCACACAGCGATGGATGCATCACAAACAGAAACTAATATTCATCTACTAATGCACTCTTTCACACACGGGGATCGAACCGCCAACCTTGGGGGACCTACTGCTGTAAAATGACCATTAAAACTACAGAAAAAAATCTATTCTTAAAGGGGATCCTTACTCCTAAAAATGTCTGTTTCCATGGCAAAGATGGTTAAAGTCCTACATGAGGGTATTTTGGTCCTCTCTAGCTGCTCTAGATCTATGAAGTGTTTACTGTGGGTCTGATGAAGGAGACCACACCCACCTCTCATGCCCAGTGTGAGTGTGTGTGTGTGTGTAGCTCTATCCTCTGACCTCTCAGAGAAAAAAATGTGAAGGTCAAAAAAATCAACAATATGTTGATTGTGCCCCTACCACGAGTCCCGGAGGGGCGGACAGAAAGAAGCTGGTGCATCCAGTGTCAGACACATTGAGTGTGGTGACGCTGTTTTTTACTGACCCAGCTCTCAGACACTGTCAGTATCCAAGTGTGAGCACTGACGTCAGAAAGGAAGGAAAACTGTGGGAGAAACTGTGGGCAGGACGGAGGTACGGACACGCCCCCCGAATGTTTGAGCTGTCACTAATGAAATACAGATGTTGCTGAGAAAAAAGCTGCATGTACTCGTTATACAGTGTAAAAACAAAGAAGATAAGTGGCGTCACGTGTAAGATTATTCAAGACATAAAGGTTAAGGTTGGGCTTAATTAGGTTGCAATGTTTCAACATCAACCCAAAACAATTCCACACATGTGCAAAGAGAAAGTTATATAATGTGTGTGTTTGGATTTCAGCTGGCAAAAACTTCCTAACAACATGGCATAAGAGTGGAAATGTGTATTTCTAATTTCAATACCAACGAGAAATAACTCGTTTCACCATCTGAATTTGATCTGATGACATTTAGGGAGCCGCACAGTTTAATGAATAAAATGTTATATCCATTTAAGTTCTACACCACAAGCAGCACGAGCTAACTAGCTAACAGCATCTGACATTACAATCGGTGACCGTTTCTCCTTAAACTCCATAAAACACCTCGGTACCGCTGTCGTCAAACTGTCCTCCGTCTGTCTCGGAGCAGCCGGAGGACGTCAGATAAATTATAAATTATAAATCTTCGCTCTGTGTCGCTAAAAGTTGAAGATTGATTGTGCTCACGTAAACACGAGTCACATTTTATTTTACAGGAAGACAAAATGAATGGATTTTGATATAAAAATACAAAGAAATTGAGTTTTTTGCATACACTGATAAACATATGACTGAGGATGCTTCTTCAAGGGTTAAAAGGTCATGAAATCTAGACGTTAACTTTGGTTTAATAAGCCAATTAAGTGTTGCTGTGGTTACCGGCAGTTTCATAAACCTTAACCTTTGATAGTCATTTACAGCAGCGGTAAAACTGTTGACGATCCCCCGTATGCGGTTTTATCAGACACCTGCCAACCAATCGGGATCAGGACTGTCCTCGGCTGTGGCGTGAAAAGACTCGTAGCTGGAAACTGTGGCGTCTGGCGTCTGTCTCTGTGCTCAGGAATGTGAAGGTCTGCGCTGAGAGCTGTTAGGATTTACGAGACTTATTGTTAAAGTGTTTAAAAGGGGAAAAGCTACATTCCCGTCACGCTGATACACACTGACACCACAGTTTTAACAGGACGGAGCCGTCTGCTGTAGGAAGGACGGGTTGGAAGAATGTGAAATTCCTTACTTTAAAGTGAATTCTTCCTCAGTGGATGTAGAAAACTAGTACTTGTCCCCATTGATGCTAAGATTTACCTTTTACAGTGATTTAAATTAGGCTTGTTCATCGTTTGGCCAGTTTTTATGGTTGGAATAAACAAAAAAGAGAAAAATGTCCAACAAAACGGTGATGCAGCCGCCATTTACAACTCTTAAATATGACTTCTATTGATATTAAACATTATTAACTGCTCCTAGCTAGCTGCTAACCGCTTCTGCATTGACTGAAAATAAGTGAGTGACTACTGATTGTTTGAGTTTTATTTCACCCTAAGTCAGTGTCAGGGACCGAGCTGGCAGGCATGAGGAGTCAAAGGTAAATTTTCACAAAAAGTCCTTTTATTCACAAAAAAAGTGAAAATAATCAATTTACAAAATATACAAAATGTTCTGGGCCCATAAAAGAGGTCAACTAAACAGAACTTAACTCAGGCTACATTAACTGAACGAACAAAACATACTGAACAAACACACCAAACCAACCCCCCTAAACTCAGACATTGGGGGAACTTAAATAGTGGCTGATCAGGCCACTCTGACACACAGGGGGCATAGACTAAAACATAACATTTAAACAAACCATAATACCCTCCAATAATATCCAGATAATGCAGCCAATTATTAACTAAGGAAAATACTGAAATACTAAACATCAAAAAGCATAATAATCAGAAATAACTAAACTCAAACAAAGAGAAATCACTTCCTCTCCCCATGATTCCAGCCAACATGGTGTAGCCCAATTATCGGCCAAACCCCTTTTAAGTGTCTCTGAATCTGCCGGCACTTCCTTTGTCAGCCATGCAACATCGTCAGCAGCAGCACCCAGGAACTGGTAACTCAAAGAAAAATGAATTAATGCAATGGAAAATAACCTGAATGAATCTAATACTACAGAAAATTGACAACAAAAGTTAACTAATTGTGTGCACCCAAAAAGATAACTACTGTCAAAACCGGATAATAAAACTATGTATTATGAATCCAAAATCTGTGTCCAGTTATTTATTGTCAATCGTGTCTAATGTTCTAAGCCTAAATATAATCAAACAAAGAAAGAGTTACCACCATGCGCTTCGTGCCTCAATGTGTGGCTGCTAGGGCGGCCATCACATACTCCCCCCCTTCGGAACTCTCGTTGTGACAGCGAGAGAGATAATCTGCCGTCACATTGAGTTTGCCAGGGATGTGCTGTACTATGAAGCGGAAGGGTTGCGTGGCCAGATACCAACGGGTGACTCTGCCATTAGTGTCCTTCATCCGTTGCAACCACTGGAGGGCCTTGTGATCAGTCTGTAGAGTGAACTCCCTCCCCAGAAGGTAGTATTTATAAGAGTCGAGAGCCCACTTGATCGCCAGGGCTTCTTTCTCCACGGTAGAGTAGCGGACTTCCCTGGGGAGCAGCTTGCAGCTGATGAAAGCCACTGGATGTTGGTCCTCTGTTGGTCCTTGCAGAAGGACAGCACCGATACCCCTCTCTGAGGCATGGAGCATTTGCTTGAGGGTCTGGTTGAACCGCTCCGTCAGTCCATCTGTCTGTGGATGGTAGGGGGTTGTTCGCAGACTCTTGTTGCCAAACAGTTGGTAAACCTGTTTCAGGAGCGTGGACATAAAGTTAGTGCCTTGGTCAGTTAAAATCTCTTGCGGGAAACCGACTCTGGAGAAGAACTGCACCAAGGAGAATGCCACCGTCTTTGCCTTGACCGACTTCAGGGGAAACACCTCAGGATATTTAGTCGCATAGTCTGTGATGACCAACATGTAGCGGTTTCCACTTTTGCTTTTTTCAACTGGACCAACAATGTCCATACCAAGACGCTCAAAGGGGGTACCAACAATGGGGAGTGGCTGGAGAGGAGCTCTACATGGTCCTCTACTTGAAGTCTTCTGGCACTGAGGGCAAGTCCTACAGAACTGGCTAACATCTGCCCGCAAACCAGGCCAGTGAAAGTATCGTTTAATCCGAGCCAGGGTCTTGTGCTTCCCTAGGTGGCCAGCCCAGGGAACAGAGTGGCCCAAGACAAGCACTGTGTCTCGGGCTGCTTTGGGAACCACTAGCTGCTTCACTGGTCCATGTTGATGGCAGAGAATACCCTTCTGCAGAAAATACTCCTCTCCAGAACTGTACTCTAACTCACTCTCCACCTCTCTCTCTCTTTAGCACTCCTTAATAGAGCCGCTAAACTGTGGTCCCTTTGTTGCATCTGAACAATGTCTGAAGGTATTTTAAAACCTAGTGGCAAATCTGGAGCTACTGCATCTGGTGGTGGAATGACAGTGTGCTGGAATCTTTCCTGCCTCCTTCGACTGTGTGACTTCCGGGACTTCCCCGGCTGGGTGTCTAAGTCAGCATCATAAAAAGGCAGGGCACTGAGGGTTACAGAGGGCTCATCTACCAACTTGGCCTGGGCTCTGGTTACAGCCACATTGCACCTAATAGGTTGGCTTAATAGGTCAAACAAAACTGGTAGGTCGCTACCCAGCACCACTGGGAAGGGAAGATTGTCAGCCACTCCAATGTTAAGAAGGTATGGTTGCTCTTGCACTTCAATGTAAATGTCAGCTGTGGGGTAGGGCTTCTTATCCCCATGCACACAGCAAATGGGGTTAGTTTCAAGGGTGCGGATCATATTAGCGGGGACAAACTGCCTGTGTACCAGTGTCTGATCACTACCAGAGTCCATTAGGGCCTTCAGAGCTTTACCATTAATTTTGACAGTGATCATTTTCATGGAGCGATCATTTTTTGGTGTAGGGTCATTTTGACGGGGGACAACACACATTTGAGTGAGCTTAGCAGGGTTCTTTGGGCACATTGGTTTTGTGTGACCTTCCTGTCCACACAGGTAACAAGTGGGTACTTTGTATGAATGTTTTGTTTGTGAATTCATTGCCTGCTTCTCCCTCATGGGAGCCTTACCCACACCAGGTGCCGCCCTCTGATATTGTTGTGATGATGTAGGCCTGCGGGTGTCCTTTGTAGCTTTCCAGGCAGAGTAACTCCATGGTTGACTTTTTCTCCGGGCAGCCACAAACACATCCGCCAGCGAAGCAGCCTCTGCAGCCGTTGAATGGTCGTGTTCTTTTATCCATACCTGCAGCTCAGGAGATAACATTCGTAGATACTGTTCCAATATAATCATTTCCCCCACAGCTTTAACTGTTCTACCTTTTGGCTGTATCCACTTCCCATACAGCTCCTTCAACCTTACCTACAGCTCTTTGGGAGACTCACCAGGTTCAACATCTGTGGAACGAAATCGCTGCCTGTAGGCCTCAGGGTTAATGTCATATTTTTTTAAGATAGCATCTTTAACACTCTCATATTCATGAGCATCATCAAGGTCCATATTTACATAAGCACCTCTAGCTTTACCAGTGAGCAGTGGAATAAGGCGAAAAACCCAGTCAGGTCTAGGCCACCTACATGCTGCTGCAATCCTTTCAAAAGTTACAAGAAAGTGTTCAATATCATCGTGCTCTGTCAGCTTTTCTAATCTAGGCTCTTGGGGGAAACGAAACTGACCTGATGAGGAATTGGCTGGAGCACCCTCAGGTGTCAGGGCTATTTGGGCTTGGGGACCAGGTTCATCTGAATCAAGGTCAGCTGACGTGTGCTCCAGGGTTGGAGAAGTGCGAGCTTGTACCTCGAGCTGTAGCAATTGGAACTGATGTTGGAGTGCCTTAAACCGCTGCTCCTGGCGATCAGACTCCTCCCTCAGCCGGTTATCCCGGGCCTCTTGCTGGCCCATGTGGGCACGGAGAATGCTAGCTATGTCCACCAGCGTTGGTTCTCTGCTGTCTCCACCCTCAGTGCCTGCGACTCCTCCTGTGTCTTCAGTGCCAGTGCTGTGTCCTCGCCCCTCCTGTCCAGTCTGTGGTTCCCGGGGCCCCTCACGATTTCCTCTTGTAATCATTCCTCCACGCTGCATTGTAAAAAAACAAAAAAAACAATCAAATGCAGGGGGGAAAGAGAGCGAAAAAAAAACCTTCCTCAACCAGCTAATCCCACCACTGCCACCATATGTCAGGGACCGAGCTGGCAGGCATGAGGAGTCAAAGGTAAATTTTCACAAAAAGTCCTTTTATTCACAAAAAAATAATCAATTTACAAAATATACAAAATGTTCTGGGCCCATAAAAGAGGTCAACTAAACAGAACTTAACTCAGGCTACATTAACTGAACGAACAAAACATACTGAACAAACACACCAAACCAACCCCCCTAAACTGAGACATTGGGGGAACTTAAATAGTGGCTGATCAGGCCACTCTGACACACAGGGGGCATAGACTAAAACATAACATTTAAACAAACCATAATACCCTCCAATAATATCCAGATAATGCAGCCAATTATTAACTAAGGAAAATACTGAAATACTAAACATCAAAAAGCATAATAATCAGAAATAACTAAACTCAAACAAAGAGAAATCACTTCCTCTCCCCATGATTCCAGCCAACATGGTGTAGCCCAATTATCGGCCCAACCCCTTTTAAGTGTCTCTGAATCTGCCGGCACTTCCTTTGTCAGCCATGCAACATCGTCAGCAGCAGCACCCAGGAACTGGTAACTCAAAGAAAAATGAATTAATGCAATGGAAAACAACCTGAATGAATCTAATACTACAGAAAATATACAACAAAAGTTAACTAATTGTGTGCACCCAAAAAGATAACTACTGTCAAAACCGGATAATAAAACTATGTATTATGAATCCAAAATCTGTGTCCAGTTATTTATTGTCAATCGTGTCTAATGTTCTAAGCCTAAATATAATCAAACAAAGAAAGAGTTACCACCATGCGCTTTGTGCCTCAATGTGTGGCTGCTAGGGCGGCCATCACAGTCAGTATTTGGAGATAGTCAAAATATTGAGCACGTTTCCCATTATAATCTCATCACATTGGCAGAAGTGGGCTTCCATAATATCAGACCACCATTATCGTGAATATTGCATTAAAGAGTGAGGCAAACATTCACTTTTCACTTTAATAAAAGTCTAAATATGATTTTTTTTTTTTAAAACCCTCCGGACAAGCATTACTTGAACAAAAATTCTATTCAAAACGCTTCAGAATCTTACATATGGCACCTTTAAATGGTGTGTTTCTATGTTGGCTATGATTTAAGGATGTCAACTACTTGTATTAAGTATCTATATGAGTAAGAAGTATGCCAACCATCCACTGGATCTGACTGACATGAATTAGGCTAACCTTCTTAACCTACTTAAGTTAAAGTTGTAGCCTCTTTCCTGTCCTGTAACAATATATATAACACATAAAGACATAAATCCCACACCAGAATTCAATGTGGGGATCTTTGTGGTGTTTTGTTTAAACACTTTATCTTTTGGATGTTTGTGTGTTGAAAGATAATGACAACGTAGTTTTTCACACCTTTCAGATGGAAAGTTTTAACCTTCATAGAACGGAAAAGTACATTCAACTGGTGACCTGATTCAATCACCCACAAGCCTGCAAGTTTTGCAAAGTATAGTTAAACAGGTACCAAGTTTACTATAGTTACTAGACTACTGCAGTCTCGATTCTGAACATCTTAAATGTTGCCCCTGACAAAGAGACCCCATATTTTTGTTTTAAACAATTTTTTGCTTGAACATTCATTTTTATTATTTTCCTATTTTTTAACTTATGTGTATGTAAGTGTCTTTGAGTTCCTATAAAAACACTTATAAACAACACAAATAAAATGCATTATTATTATTATTATTATTATTATAACAGCAAACAGTGTAATTGAATATTTTGTATGATGTAACTAAGTTTGTATGATTTTTACAATTTAAACATTTCAAACATTCACAAAAGTGATGGGTAGTGATAACTGGGTCAATTTCATCCTGGTGAAAACTGAAATGTGCCCAAAATGTAAAAGACAATTGAACAAATAAGTGCTACCAATTAAAAGTATGGAGTTAAATAAAATTCCAGTAAAGGTACTTGAGTTATTTAATATTTAATATTTAATTTCTATGTTTTCAACTTGGTTTCAGATTTTAGGTTTAGGCCATTTGCTGTAATGCAATTAAAGGAGCATTTCACCCGTGGAAACATTAATATTTATTGAAAGTGGGTTATATATGTAGTCGAAATGTAACACATATTTTGAATTTGGTGCCTATTTGACCGAGAAAAGACAGAAAGTGACTTTAGGGCACATTTGTATAAAAGACAACAACTCCCACAATGCACAGCTCCGCAAGCCGCTCCCACTAACACTATCAAGGACTACAACAATGTGAATGTAAACCATTTATTTACAAAAATATATCAACAACAACAAAAACAAATATGTTAACAATGACAGTTATAGTTCCTCCTGAGCATCCTCAACTCCTCGGTGCCGCAGTACTGGCCATCTGGAGCTGGATGTTTCTGTCGGATAGCCTGCACCACATAAGCGGGTAAAACGACACGATGGCCTCTACCCAATCTCTCGCCTTGCAGGATTCCAGAAAGGCGATATTGTCTACAAGACATTGAGCACACAGTTAGAGATGCATGGTCTTTGTGTTTAGCGTGCCACAGTAGTTAGCAATGCAACTGCGAGCTGTTTGTGCAGTAAAGAAGTTAACATTAGTTCAGTTGGCTGACGTTACGTATTAACCGGGAATAACTTTGTGATAATGCTTGAACAAATTGTGTACATACATGCCACGTTGTTATAAGACAGAAAATAGAAACACTCACTTTACAGTCAGACGTCCGTGTGTCCGTAGGCACACAGCGAGGTAGGCCGGTAGACAGACAGGCCCTCTGCCTCGGCTGCAGAAGCCTCAGACGCTGCTCGCTATATTGCGGCTCATAAAGGTAGCCACGAAGATCTGATTCGACCATCATACTTTAGAAATTTCTTCCATATTAGATTGATTACCATAGTCCTAACGTCTGGCTCCACAGCGCCTCCGCTTAGCTTCCAAACAACATGGTGGTTATATTTTTTTAGTTTCCGCAGGTGAAGTCGCACCCACTGATCTGTAATAGGTCTGTAGCATGAGTTAAAAAAAAAAGAGGAAGTAGTGTTTGTAGTCTCACCCCCTCTACAGAGATATGAGACTTCCTGCTTCCAATGACGCAAAATGACGATTATTACATCATTGGAAACAGGAAGTGCAACACTAAAATCCTTATTTCTCCCCTCTCAGGGAAAGTGAGGGAATGATACACGACCATTCAAAAATATGACTGGGGTTCTAATGATACAAAGCTTAATGCAAATGGGTGAAGTGTCCCTTTAAACCACAGAATTCAAAATATATCAACAATAATGTCATAAGTTAATATTACTTATGAATATTTACAGTTTAAATCTCAAAATGACATTGTTAATCTCGTAAATTGTGACTACTTTGACTAAATCACCACTAATATATTTCCGTTGTCTTGCAGCTCACACGGACGGGTGGTTTGGTGAGAAGCAGCTTGTAGGCTGAATAGAAGTTTCAACTAAAACCACAATGTGACAGGAAGTATTCAAATAAGTGTGTGAGCTGTGGCTTACGATCTTGAGGTTTAACTGCCACTGTTGCCACTGCTGAGCTGGTCTTCAGGTGTTATTTATTGTATCACATAATTCATATACTTTTTAGGATATCGTCAATCTGCAGCCAACATTTTTGAAGTCACAACTAAAGTTTGAAGTGGCATACTACCCCAAAAAAAACCTGGTAAAATAGGCCATTTGCACTGCATGTGGCATCTTGGTTTTGTTTTGTTTTCTTGCCTATGTTTAACCTCTGTTGGATTGCGGCAGCAGCAATGAAATGCAGACCATCAAACCACAGCACATACGAATTGATTTCGTTTTGTTTCCTTGTAGCTTGTAACTCTGACTTTGTCTTTGTTTTGTAGGTATTACAACTTGGGCTTTTCTTGCTCTTGCACATTTTGTGAATAGAACAATTCTTTCATCCTATAGTCCAACTTGTCAAGGGTCACATAAGCTTTGTGAGTCCGGCTTGTTAAGGGTCACGTAGGCTTTGTCACAGACCTGCCATGGTTGGGCAAGCTTTGTAACTCCTTTTCATGGTCTTATAGGTGTTGTGACTTATCACCTCTTAGACTTACCTGTCAGGAATTATGATTTTGACTTGTCTGGGCCTTGAAGGTATTCTGACTGACTTGTTTTAGCTTTTAGCCTTGTTGGCTTGATCATGTCACCTTTGCGATCTTTACCCTTTCTCTGCCACAAAGGTTTGTCACTGAAATTTTCTGTCATAAACTTTGTAAAACAGACTTGTCTTGGTCTAATAGGTTCTGTGACTTGAACTTTTCTCTTTCTACAAATCAACTACATTCTGATTTGGCTTTACAGATCGGTTTCCTGACTCCTTAGTGTCTTGGTCGTAAAGATTTTGTGACTCAGATTTGATTTCACTCTGACTTTTAGTGTTTGTGATTTGGACTGCTAGATAGATAGATAGATAGATAGATAGATAGATAGATAGATAGATAGATACTTTATTTATCCCGAGGGAAATTCAAGTCTCCAGTAGCATACAAAATACAAAACATACATTAAACATACCTTAAACTAAAATTAAAAACCCTAGCCTAAGCCTGCTCTGGGTCACGAAGGCTTTGTCCCCCTCATGTAGGTTTCTTGACTGAACGTTAATGTTGTTTCCATTTAGCTAACAAAGTAAGTGCTCTTAGCTTTGTGTTTATATTTTACTGTGCAGTCCTGTCAGAAATACCAATTTATCTAACAAATATGGGCAGGAAACCCCATTATCATGTTTTGAACTTCGCTTGGTGGTGCAGGTTCTTGACTTCTGTTGGACTTTTAAGGTTTGTGATTTGGACTGCTCTGGGTCCTGAAGGTTTTCTGACTTGGATATTACTTGGCCATTTAGGGTCTGACTCAGGTATTATCAATTGGATCTTTCGCTGTTGTATTATTAACTCTAAATGTTGTTTTCATGTGGCTTTGTGTTTAACTGTGCAGTCCTTAAATAAACCTTTTCTAATTAAAAGAAAGCTTGCCAGGAAGTGATGTGGGACTCTTTTGGCTTATATTAGGGACCAAGTAGCAAGACCAGGGATGCAGTGATCACCAAGTGTATTTTGGGCATCATTTCCTGACAGTTTTGGAATGTGTTTGACTGCTCTGGTGACAGACAGGAGAGGATGACAGCAGCACTGATAAAGAGTCCAGTTTCCCGTATGTTTTCCACCTTTTATCACACTATAAATAGAACCAGATGCAACTCCACCAACACTGCTGCATCTTAAACTCTCAACTTATCATTCTTGTCTGACTAGATTCACATATCAAAGACAACAACACAAAAGCAAAATGACAAGAAATAAGCAGTAGAAGGAACATGTTGGAACATGTTGGAAATTGTACATGTTGTAGCTCATTTACTAGAAATTATAAATTTCAAGAACATAATCAGTTGTCTGTGAAAAGCAACTTCCAAAAAAGGGAATATTTCGGCATATATATCATTCATGACAGTTAATATTTAGTCTTTTTTTCAAAGTTACATTATTGATATGAGCTATTTACATAATTGCAGATTGATTAACTAACAATATTTAGAAATCATTATAGTGTTGGCTTGATGGTGGCACAAGAGGGGAAATGATCTAGTCAGGATGGATGGATAAGGATTTTCTACATGACAACATTGTTGCTGTGCAGATGCTTTGCTGCTTGACCTCCGCTCTGCTGACATTCCTTTGCTGATACTCTTGTTTTTTTCTGCTATATTTGTATTATTGGATAGTGGCTCTTGGATGCTTATAAATCCCTGCGACTTAAATCTATGAAGACAAATTAGAGCTATAACCATATTTTTCATCACTTCTATTACTTCTTCAGTGCACGCTTTCCACTTTGGAGGTTATGAACTGCTACCTGTGAGGATTCACTTTCTTCACCCCGTTTAGGTCACCCTTACACCACCTCCTATATCCTCCAGGAATTCCCGATCCAGATGAAAGAACTTAACTCTGGTCCCTTCCCCGTCCCTACTTCCAGTTTCTATCCTCTAACCCCACTCTCGGCTTCCACTTTCACCACTGACCTTAAGTCCATGGTCATTTTTGACACATTTGTATCAGTTACAACGTTTGCCCTGATGTTAGGGGTAGAGGAAACGTCAGAGGGTCATCAAAATGATTGACGTTCCTCCTCTAGGCAAGTAGTTTTGAATTTGTTGGAGAGCTAATGAGCAGTGATTTACAGTGGTTTGAACAAAATCATTAGGATTCATCCTCTGGGGAGTATAAATTTGCTTTTTGTATAGTTTTGAATTTGTCAGGGAGCTCATAAGCAGTGGTTTACATAATTCACAGAGGATACATCAGTGGGTAATCAGCATATTTAGGGTTCATCCTCTGGCAGCCATGAATATTAATTTCAGATATGAGATAAATTCAGTAGTGTTTTCGAGGATTTGTTAGATCTCTCGAGGCCTAACTTTTGATGGACATCATTAGAGCCCGCCTCAAGTTATTGAGCTATTATGTGACAAAACACATTAGTGGTTTACAAGTTTTTTAATGATGGTGGGACATAATGGAGTCCAAGAAGAGGCACTTATGAGCTGCAGACAAAAGGGAGTCAGACTCTCTCCACACTCATTAGCTTCCTGCACACAGAGAGGAAAAATACAATTTCTCTAACTTTTCTGGCTCCGGCTTCAGTTTGGTGCGAAAACTCCCATGACCCCTGTGATTACATTAATATTAAGTTGTCATGTTGTGTCAGGATATTGATATTTTACCATGGGGCGCTGAAAATAGACCATGTCAACGTTATAACATATTCAGACCTGCCAAACTTGACAATATATATTGAGCACAACAATAGTGTAATGCTTAGTTCACATACTCTCACCTACTCACTGCCAAACATATAAAATAAAATACGACGAAAATGTTATATTATTTCCATTTTATACTGCTTTGGTTTTATTGTACTTTTTACTCTATACATGTATTTCATAGCTATAGTTACTAGCTACTTTTCACATCAGTATTTAATATTTAAAACATTTGATCATCTTTAAAATAAAACTATTAATTAGCATTGTCATAGATTAGACTTATCGTTTAAATATTTCTGATACCGATTCTGACCTTGACTTCAGTACTGGTTCACGTACATCTGTGACATGTAACGTTAGACTACACGTCTGGTAATACGAGAAATAACAAATGTGTCAGGAACTGAGTGTGTTCTGCTTCCATTTCATAATTTAAGGCTGAAACAGATATCGCAGGGGTTCCCAACCTTTTTCGTTTCCATCACAAAGCAAACTGACAACCCCTCACTAAATGACATATTTTATGGATATTTCATATTATATTCAATGCATAACAATGACAGTACAGAACAACTGATAAACTGCAAACAGCGAACACAATAACTACAAGTTTGTGTAAAACAGGAAATTTTGATACATTTTGAGCAGATTATATCTCAGTTTTCCTGATCATTTCTAAGGTACTTTTTATACAATTCTCTGTCTGTATTTTATTTTTGAATGTATATAGTTCAAAGAAAGTACATCATCTGTACTATATACCTGTTTTAAGTCCTCCATTAACCTCAATAAGCTGTTGCACATGCGCAGCGCTGAAACATTGCATGAATCCGTCCAACAGTTCTTCAGATACCATTCATACTTTCTGAATCTTTCTTTTTTTTTTTTTTTCTGTATTTTTGTAACATGAATTCCTGTTATAAGTAAGTCTTACAGTGCAAGGAGATGAATCATTGTATGTATGTGTCTGTATAAAGTCTGTGGCACAGAGAGTTCAAGATTTGTTTTATTGTGTTTGAGGACGTTGTTGGCTGCCTGTGTAACTGTGTTATATCCTCTCTCTGTGTGACCAGCAGATGACCGATAACTGCAATCAGATTAGCTCCAAGTTGTTCTCTGCTGCTGCTCCCCTCATTTACAGCTGCATCTGTATGCACGCACGCAGAGCCAGGGCTTTATTTCATCCTTAGCAGGCACACTTCTACTAATAGGAAAATGAAAGCAA